AAGGTGTGAAGATGTAGTATAACGGCTGCTTTTTTACGAAGAACCCTTCGCAGGCGCTCTCGGGAAAAATGCTCCAAATGGACGATGTCTCGGAATCCAAACGGGAGCGGAAACTTTGCATCGTTCATGATGTCAATTGATGTCATGTTAATCCAAACCCATAACACCTCTCCAAGGCAGCCAATGCACCAAATAAATACGAATCTTCTGAAGGCCAAGATCTCCAAGATTTCAAAGTCAATCAAAGCTACGCAAATCTTGGTCTGGATCTCATCCCGAAACTCCCGCTCTCAAAGGTGCGTCGGATACCTTTCAGATCCCCGTCTGGGGTGACTCTTAGCGTCAGGCCTGGGGTCCCTAAGATCCCGGGGACCTCACAAATGAGAAAGTCAACTTGGGTCCTGACCCTCTGGAGCTAAAACTAGGGCCTGACCCCAAAATTTAAGGCGTTGGTGAATGAATTGTTTTCATACGAGGTGTGCACGCTGAATAAAATTGACTAGCCCAAGGTTCAATTTTTGAAAATGTACGAAAAATATCGAAAAATCAAATGATAAGTGCAAGGTGAAACCATGCAAAGAGATGCGCCTGTGCTCTGGGTGGCTGGACATTATCAACCTCTATCCACATCTATCAACATCTATCAACTATTAGCAAACATTAACAGATTATTTACCTCCTGAAGCATCCCTTACGCAACAGTTGTTTACGCAGGGAGCTTGCGCAGGCCTACACGACAATATTTGGGGCCTTTAGCATTATAATTGGCACATTTGGAATTTACAGAATCCTCACAGCAAAGTGCCGGCAGCACTTCGAGACTTGCAAGGGGGTCATTATCCTTTGAAGAGCTCTCGCGATCTCTCGTGCTTCATGCTCTCGTAGAATGCTGCGCCGCAGCCGCTGGAACAGGCCATGCATCAAATCCCGGCCTAGGGAGCGTCAATTTGTAATCCAAAATCCACGTTCAAAGTCATCGAACTCCTTGAGGCTTCAGGATCTTTTTTGCCCTTGATGCTGGGTTCTTGGGAGAGCGGCAAAATCGAAAGTCTTCATGGCACCCTCGGAATCTCCCAGCGCCTCACAGTCTTATTATGAAGATGTCTTATGGTTCGAAATGAGTCAGAGAGGAATGTTAGGATTGTTAGGCTGTTGGCTGGGTCTACCAGGTCTCTAGAAGATATTGCCAATTTGTTTTCTGGTTGCTTTGGAATTTGCTCTTGGAATCTTTGGAATCTTTGGAGTCTTTAGCATAATTGGCACATTTGGAATCTACAGAATCCTCACAGCCTCAGAGTCCTTCTCACATCATCGAACTCGAAGCTTGAGGCTTCAGGCTCTTTTCTGCCCTCGATGCGACTTGGTCTACCAGGTCTACCAGGTCTGCCAGGTCTGTCTAAGAGCCTAAGCGCAGCAAAGTCGCAAGTCGGAAACTCGGCAAGTGCTGTGGCCTGTGCTCGAAGATGCCTCACAGGACATCAAAGCGAGGGCGAATTTGCAGGTTCGCAAATTCCTTTGATCAAGGGAAGACATAGGAAGTGCATAGGAAGCGTGTGAAAGTTTGCTCTTTTCATCTCGGTTCACTTACTTTTCCCTTACATTCCCTTACAATCTTACTACATGATGCAAGCTCGTCAATGTCATGCGGTGGAATCCTCACAGCCTCAGAATCCTTACTACTCAGCTCGGCAATGCCAAGCTGCATTGAAAAAAGAGACTGTGAGCCGAAAACTTTTTGCTTCAGACTCACGGCTAAACATCTCAGCTTTGTTTTCTTGTCTTTGTTTCCACATCCGGTTTATGTATGTGGATCCATTTTCATGCGCCCACAAGCACACGTGCCTAAGAAGGTTCGTTTAATTTTCTTGTTGGCTCACTCTTGGTAAGGTGTGGCAACAAGGCTTCAGGCTCTTTTCTGCCCTTGATGCTGGGTCCTTGGGAGAGCGGCATCGAAAGTGTTCATGGCACCCTCGGAATCTCCCAGCGCCTCACAGTCTTATTAGCAAGATGTCTTATGGTTCGAAATGAGTCAGAGAGGAATGTCAGGCTGTTGACTTTGTCTACCAGGTCCACCAGGTCTCTTCGAACTTACTCTTTTTTGCATTTACGACTAACTGCTCTGCACCCTGCTTTTTGCCAACTTTATCTTGGCCTTGCCAACCTAAAGGGAATGAATCACACATTTTTGGCGGCAAGGTTTCTTCTCACATTGAACGGATGCGCAGTCTCTGCGTTAGCACATGGTCTCCCTGCGTTTCTTTTTGTTCACTTTTCCGTGGCCGTGCTCATCAAAGGCAGAAAGAAGTGGCAATCCAAAGGCCTCCATGGGAATGAGACACTTGCCGATGCAATAGATGCAGTGGATGTGGATGCAGTGGATGCAGATGCCGTCAATCCACCTTTTGCGGCGGGTCACCAGGATCTATGCATTTGCACTAGGTGGGCCTTCCAGGTCGCTGTTTCTCATGCTGTCAGCCAACCTCAGCACTAATTCCTGATCCTCACGGCGTCAGAGCTGAGGGAGTCAAGTGACTCAAGTGACACCTAGATATGACATGATATGATATGGTATGACTAGATACTTCCAATTCAAATCATTCACGACTCCATCCCCACAGGGAAAGCTCGAGTACCAAAGTATAGACCTTCTCTGAACGTGAGCAAAGAACTGCACATGCGTCGGCAGTCTCGACTTTGGGCGTGACTTCTCCATTGAAACACCTTCACCACCCTTTTGTTGTCGCTCTGCTTTTTGCACCACCACCTATTTTCCACCTTCGTACGTTGCACAAATCAGGTTCCTACGATCTTCAAAATTACACTTCAAAGAAGTGAAGACCTCTGTCTGACTCTTGTCTCTGGAACTGCAATCAGAGATTGGCTTGTCCCAGACCAATTTGTTCGGCCGCTGGCTTCACAGTGACTGGAAAGCAGGTATGGTGACGACGGTGACGATATCGAGATTAGCCAAACTCCAAGAATTCCATCCCGAATTCCAGTTCGCCACTGCGCGCCCAAAGCGTTGACAAAGCACTTCTTCGCAAAGCCTTACTGACATGAACATCTCAAATCGAAACTGAGAAGCCTCGACGCTGACATGACCTGTCTCTCTGGGTGGCCGAGGCATTCCATGTCTGGTCCCTTTCTCCAATTGATCTATGTCGTTCCATTGGCCCATTGGCCTGCTCCGTTTTTTCGCCTTCTCCAATTTCTCGTTCTTCTCAAAGCCTTGTCAAATGCATTCGATAGGTCTGGTTCGCACCGACTCAGGTCATGCTCCTGCAGTTTCACGTCGTTTCACGTCGTTTCATGCTCAAGGATGCTTAATGTCGGTCGTTTCCATGTTGTTTCCATGTCGATTCTTTGTCTTCGGCGTCTCTGATGTCTTTGAGATTTCTCAAGGATGTGTAAAACATCACGATTCTACGAGTTGGTGCACAGACACAAAGACAAAAGGGGTAGAACGAGAAAGACATGACTTCATCACGAGAATCAACGGATTTGATACAGTGTACCATATGTATATACTTATATATACACACGTATGTACATGAGATACAGTACACATACATGCATAGATGTAGTGCACACCTCTGTATATCAAACCAAAAGTTGAAAGACACTCGAAATCCTCTTCCCCGCACTTCAAAGACCGACAAAATTGGTTAAGTCACACTGCCGCAATCACAATCAGGGAGAACCCGAGAAAAACAGATTGCTCTACCAAAAGAGTCTGCTCAAGTCGCACAAGTAGTTTTCGACCCTGGAAACAACATGCAAAACAGTGAGAAGGTCAGAACATCCGAAGATTACAGAAAACATACAAAACAATGTTCAAAAGACCAATGACCTACAAATGAGAGATTTCAATTAAGCAAATATGAGGTGCCTGACATTGAGTTGACAGTTGTTGCAAGACTTTGCAGTACTCACTGCGATAAGGGGCTCATAGATATGAGACTGAGACTTCTCACTTGTGAATGCTGCTCTTCTCATGCATGCAGGAACTGACACTTTATCGCTGCATGCCATTCCAAACAGAGTTGCTGATAAACCATCCAAGTAATGCACTTCAACGCGATGAAGTAGCAAGCAATGTGCAGTATGTGCATTCCATTCTATGCTGACAATTGTTAGATTATTTTGTTCGTTAGCAGTTAGCGCCATGTCCATATAGAAAACAACACAACATGACAAAACGTGCATCTGTTTCAATCTCTTTCCTATTTTCCAAGCGTTTCCGATCTCACATTTCTTGGAAAACATCTGCACCAAAAAAATCCAAACTTCTGATGCTGCAAGGTCTCCTTTCCGTTCTGGCTTCGGGTCTCCATGGCTGCTCAGACTTTTCTCACAATGTGTCACCGCAACGGGTGAAACAACCTGGCATCCTAAAATCACATGACATAACATAAAGAAATTTATATAAACATATATAAACACATTCAACATGTAGCAAAAGAATTCAAACAACTGATTTGAACAAAGACTTTCGAAAGTGGAGGCTGGCATGCAACCTGGCTGACAATTTGAATTGGCTCCGGCCTTTTGAGCCACAACGAAAGGACTTCACAGAATTGCACTTGATTTCATAGCAACAAAACTGCCATTGCACTCAGGTCAAACCTAGAACTTTTGATAAAGCGTTGAGGACTTTTTGATGGACTTTGAAGAGTGCTGGAACCGTGCAACTTTTACAAAACTTGGCTGATTCAACCGACAAAGACAATAGAAAATACAGGTGGAACATCATGTATCTCCATTCCTTATTCTATTGCATTCTGATACCTTTCCCGCCCTCTTTTTGAACTTCGAATGTCTATAAGCAATCCCACGAAATTGTTGTAGGATGATATCTATATCATAGTTAGTTATAGATATATTATAGGATAACTGCTATATCTATATCCCTAAGTGAACTATAGGACAATCCCACGAAAAGGTCCACTTAGGTGACCTACGCCCACAGTATGGTTATGGGACGTTCATCTTACCCCACCGCCTGGCAGGAGACCAAATGGCCGCATAGGCCAACTGCTGATGTGCTCGAAAGGTGCTGATGGAAGCCTGAAAAAAAAACGAGCAAAACGGTGATTCTCGGGTTGATTTTGGTGGGAAAGTGTGGGGAACATGGGATAAACATCCGCAAAAACTCGGGGATGAAGATACTTAAGAACGGTTCATCCTACAAATCACAAACAAAAATATAGATACCTTTATTATATATATATATTATACCACTACATGTTTTTCCCAGAAAGGTTTATATTTTATACAAAACAATGGACACAAATAGGGGTCGCCATTCCTCTATCACCGATAGAGGTAGCTACCCATACCATCATCTACTGTGACTGTGGTAAACCCGACAATAAACCATCCCCAATTTGGTTTCTTATTGGATATAAGGTATATCTCTGTGGCTGCGATGATTTAAAATAACCCACAACTTGTTGTTTGATGGATCAACATCCCCACAATAATGATGACAAACACATCCCTTCAGAATCTGATTTTATACAATCCACGTCCCCCCTAATTAGATACAGTAAATATCTAGGAGGACTGACATGGTTCATGGCATTTGTTTTACAGCATTAATTATTGCTAAATATTAGTCTTGCGGTTTTCACTGTTATGACCCTTTAGAGTTATAAATGGGAAAAGTTATTAAAGTTATACATGGGATAAATTCAAAATGGCCCTTAAAAAGTTATATCAAAAAAACTGCTGCAACTAAGGTTATAAACGTTATATAATGATATACATATATATATATATATATATAATATTATATAATATTGTTAAGGGCTATAACTGCAGGCACAGGCCCACGATCCTGAGACCGGGGCCCCCGGCCCCTCGCATGGCGTCCCAGACTTTCACTGTCTGATCCCACGCCGCGGAAGACACCTCGACAGGCCCACTTGGTTGCTGGCCGAGCGGTTCATAAGTGATTTCCTCTGGAATTACAGTTTGATGAGATTTAATGGGATTTAATGGGATATAGTGGGGATTACCCTCTGGAAAATTAAGATAGACCCTCTGGAAAATTAAGTAATAGATAGGTTTACCTATTAAAGATGGTGATTTTCCAGTTTGCGAAGTGTTAGTTTATCAGAGGGTAAGTTGACTGTTCAATAATAGTTACCCTCAGGTAAGTTTACATAGCCATTGAAAATGGATGAACATGGCCATAGAACTAGTTCATTTAATTACCTATAAAACATGATGATTTTCCATAGTTATGGATGATTTACTTACTGGCGGTTCAGCGGGAATAAGGGAATACAAAAACTATGCCCCATGGCAAGTTCCAAGTGCTTGATGATGTGCTTCAATGTTTACACCAGTGTCTCTGGTTAAAAATATCCATTTGTGATGATGAGTTGGTTGGAGAATGGAATTGTACTATTTAATTATGACATGATCAAAATAAAAAATGAAAGGCCAGTTGCCTCAGTTAAATAAGATCTAGACCAAATGTATTTAAATGTGGACTAATTAGTAATATTAATAGATCAATTGTATCAAATTATTGCCCTTAAAATTAATGGATCATGTTGCATTGCCCCATGCTGAAGAAGCATCATCAATCACATGCATTGCCCCATGCTGCAGAAGCATAACATGCATTTTCCCATGCTGAAGAAGCATCATCACATGCATTGCCCCATGCTGCAGAAGCATAACATGCATTTTCCCATGCTGAAGAAGCATCACATGCACTGAAAATTGCCCAAATCAGATGCCAGTGAAGCATCCATGCTAAAGAAACAACCATTCTTGGAAACATCCATGCTGTTTTTTTTTGGAATCTTTAATGATTCTTTGGCCAGGATCAAAATTCATGGCAATTCGAACAGCCAAGATCAGTGTGCTAAGGTGGCACTGACGCATCTGTTCAGAATGAGGAAGATTGCAAAAAGCGGCCAGCTAGCTGGCCACATGCCAGCTTGCTGGCAACTGAAACAACCCCAAAACGGCTAAGAGGCCAGCTAGCTGGCAAGAGTAAGACATAATATGAAACAAAATATGAAACAACAAACTGGCCAAACACCGTAAGGGTCTTTTGGCCAGTTTGTTGTCTATATTTTGCATTTAATTTATTACAAGACATTGACTGGCCAGCTCACTTGCCAAAGGCCCTTTCTTTACATGCATGGCGACGGGTGATGCCCACAGTGAGTGTCAGTGCGCTGCTTCTTGGGCTCAATTTGATTTGCGTCAATTTCAATCGGAGGTCGAAGGGAGCCCCGACCGTCGGCGAATGATCTTCCGCATGGCCTCTTCCAAGTCTATGCTTGAGAGCCACTTCTGAGTTGAGGCTGAAAAGAAGCGAAAATAGTTTGAAAAACGTCGGTCAAACAAAATCAAACCTCAGTCAGTGAACAGCAATAACATCCAAGCCGCGGAGTTGTTCCTCAAATAGTTGTACTTCGCCTTGAGAAGCTCCAGCGGCATCCTGTGCAAGAGGCGTTTTTGAACCATCATCGGGCATGGCGCTGGCTTCTCCTTGGCTCGCGTCCATTGTCCCATTTGCTGGCTTGGATGGTTTTCGCAGTCACAGAAGGGGGCGGTGGTCGCATCATTCCCATGGATACAAATGAGGCTCTTGACAATGGACGACGTTTGGCCTGGGAAATTTTGCGGCAGTCAAGTGTAAGTTTCAGTCAAGCCAGCTGGCAGCGCACATTTATGATCAGCCAGCAATCTGGCCATGCAAAAAAACACTTTATCAGTCGCGGTGCTTCGCCATTGGAAGAACAAATTTGAAGGACCAGCAAGCTGGCCATTTCAACACCAGCAAGCTGGCCATTTCAGGACCAGCAAGCTAGCCAATTCAGGTTATCATTTCAAAATTTCAAAGGGTGACAATCATTTTCACCATTTGATTCCAGGCACTGGTAGTCAGTCCATTCCTGACCAGCAGTGGTCTTACCACTGGTCGTTGCTAAAGAGGGTTGTGTTTCCAGACCTTCAAGTCTGTCTGGAAAAGGCCAAGCATGCACCACCCATAGATGTCGTCCGCAGATGCATACAGGACTGCCGTGAGCAACACGGATCTGCCGGCGGAGTCCCACACCTCAACTCATCGATGATATTGTTTCGCAAGTTGACCTGGATAAAAACCAAAGCTCATTGTGTACATAGAGTGGACATTTGATGATATCAGTTACTATTTTTTAAGTTTGAAGGCAAGAAACGCCACGGAAAAAAACCTTCTCCAACGTAGGCAACATCTCGAAGATCATGGATGTGCACAGTGCCACCCGCTTGTACTGCCTCAGATCAACCCAGAAAAAATGTTCAAAATCAATGGCAAAAAACTGCCTGGGCACGGAACCATGTTCTAAATGCAAACTGATAGTACCGTCATCAACCAGCAAGCTGAAACAACCAAACAGTTTCAACCAGCAAGCTGGTCCAATCATCAACCAGCAAGCCGGTCCAATCAACTAGCAAGCTGGTTCAATCATCAACCAGCAAGCTGGTCCAATCATCAACTAGCAAGCTGGTTCAATCATCAACCAGCAAGCTGGTCCAATCATCAACTAGCAAGCTGGTTCAATCATCAACCAGCAAGCTGGCTGGGTCAATCATCAACCAGCAAGCTGGTCCAATCATCAACCAGCAAGCTGGCTCCAATCATCAACCAGCAAGCTGGTCCAATCATCAACCAGCAGCTGGTCCAATCATCAACCAGCAAGCTGGTTCAAAGCTGGACTACTTTACTTGAATCGAACAAGTTGCAACAGCACATCTTCCGATTCACCATTGGTGATGGCATCCTTCAGGGCGAACAAGTAGGTATGCTCTGGCTCTTCAGGGGCGACTCGGCGCAGGTTGCCTTTCGACACCGAGAGGTCTTCCGCAACAGCAATGACAGTCGGGCGGTCAAAGAGAGCCGGTCCGTCTTTGAAGATCTTGGACTGCAGCCTTTTGACGGAATCCCTGTTGATTGGCACCTTTGGCGCTGCGCTCCACTAAGACCTCAAAATGAAGATATTTTTAATTACTTTAGGCACTTAATGAAGATATTAGTAGTTATATGAACTTATCATAGAAGTGATTTTTACCTATTTTCACTGATTTCCACTTATTTTGCTTACTTTTTTATGTTTTTTTGTAATGAGACTAGCATTGATTATAGACGAGAGTTTTTTCGTCATATACTTTTTGAAAAGAGTTTTTTGCGTCAAATACATCTTTTTTTTCTTCATGGTGATTATTGTTCTTTTTAGGTTTCATCCTGTTCAGGAGTTATCCTTTTCAGGAATTATCCTTTTCAGGAACTACTCTATTCAGAATGAATCCTTTTCAGGAACTATCCCTTTCAGGAATTTTCCCTCTCACTGTGGCACAGAAGAAGCATAATCTGGTTGCCATCATTGAGGCGCAGAAGAAGGAAAAACAATCTGAAGGATGCTTCTTGAACAGAACTTTTACGAGTTTGGAAAGTAATTGCACCAAAAAAATAGTTCAAAGCGACCGACTACAAAATTCCTAGCAGCAAAAAACTTTTGATGCTCGAGAGTTCGATCAATCTAAACTTATAAATGTTGTATATTTCTCCATGTATTTTTATTTCAAAGACGTTTTTATTTTTTCGGATTATCAGACTAGACAGTGAAATTTCAGGAAGCACATATTTTATGACATTTCCATCTCTTTGCAAATTTTAAGTTTTTAAAAATATAGATAACATATTTCATTTTTTAATTATGTTGGAACTTAATATAGTTCACTTCCTGCAATTCCTTCCCTTTGTATGGAAAAAATAATTCATATTTCCTTTGAAAAGGGCCGTTTGTTTTTCTATAGCTGACCTTGTTGATCTTTTTGTCTTTTCATTACATTATATATATATATTTAAATATATATAATGAAAATATGGGGATGTCTCAAAATGAGGTGTCCGTTTTTTCCCTTAAAGTAACCATTTTGGAACCAAAAACGGACACCTCATTTTGAGACATATCCATATTTGTTTTGAATTTAAGCATATATCTATAGAGAAAAAGGATCAAAAATTATCAATTAATCATAAATTTTCTTAGGTGTCTAAGTTGCTCAAACTTTAAATATTTTCATTTTTTTTTTTATTTTCTTAACTTTCTGATTTTCTATTTTTTGGAATTTTCTGAATTTTCTGATTTTTCTGAATTTTCTGAATTTTTGAAATTTTCTGAATTTTCTGAATTATATATATATTTCTGAATTTTCTGACTTTTCTGAATTTGAATTTGTTTTGACATTTTTGGTTGTTTGTACATTTCTTAGATATATAAATTCCCACAATTTTCCTGCTTGATATAGTGAACATTTTCTTACAGGAACTTTTTTTTTAAATATAAACTGGCATCTTGAAATCTATATTTTTCCAGGAAGGAACCTTTTTTTACAGTGAGTATCTCTTACAGGAACTGACACCTAGCAAATGGTTTGTTCTCTTTTTTTTTTCAAACTGTTTCTTCCCAGTAAGTGTCCTTCACACGAACTGATCCCTACCAAAAGGTTTCTTCGCAGTCATTATCCTTCACAAACTCTTTCTTCCCAGTCAGTATCCTGCAGAGAACTATTCCCTACATTTTTTTTCCTTTCAAGGAAGCATCCTGCAGAGAACTATTCCCTACAATCTTTTTCCTTTCCAGGAAGTATCCTGCAGAGAACTATTCCCTACAAAAGTTTTCCTTTCCAGGAAGTATCCTGCAGAGAACTATTCCCTACAATTTTTTTCCTTTCCAGGAAGTATCCTGCAGAGAACTATTCCCTACAAATGTTTTCCTTTCCAGGAAGTATCCTGCAGAGAACTATTCCCTACATTTTTTTTCCTTTCCAGGAAGTATCCTGCAGAGAACTATTCCCTACATTTTTTTTCCTTTCCAGGAAGTATCCTGCAGAGAACTATT